CTAGCAATTGGTTTCTATTGAAGATCTACGGTGAATGATACATAATGACGGTTATTTGCAAGTACTTGGGCACCTAAATTAGTGACATTTCTTTTACGGAAAAAATTGTGGTCGAAAAAATCAATTAAAAGCTAAGTTCTCTTAGTGATATTAATTATCTAGTAAATACTTTAGATTAATAATATAATTAAAATAATAATAATAATAATGAGAGATGAACATTAGAACATCTTTAATGAGAACAACTTTAAAGAGTTGTTTGATGCATAAATTCATGTATATGATGGTCTTCACTATGCCACATTGGCGTTAAGCGACTTTACTCTATTTTTATCCCAACGGTAAGTTTTTTTTAAGTAATTCAAGGAACTCAATATTTTATAAATTTTTAATGTTGAATTTTATTAAATTATGATACCTTTAAATTAAAAATTTATTTTTAATTATTGCATATCAAATAACAATTTTTTTAATTTAAAAAAAAATTAATATTCAATATATGTAATAATTTTTTAATTTAAAAACAATGACATTTACATAACATATAAATAAAAACATAACAATTGAAATACATACTAATATAAAAATTTAAAATAATAACGTTGAGAAAAAAAGACATGACAATGAAAATTTTAATATTCTACATTAAATTAATTTTTGTTATTTTCTACTCCAAATCGTTGCTAAATATATTCGATCAAATCCATTTGAAGTTGTTGGTGTTTGTCTTTGTTTTAAATCGTTGCTCTCCTCTCAAAGTATGTATTTATGAAACTGGGATGGGCACCTGAAGATACATCCAATATCGATATTTCATTTCCAACAACATCATAATCAATACGATCTTGATAAGTGTGTCGTTCATCCTCGACGATCATATTATGCAATATGATACATGCATAAATTATATTCTCCATGAATAATTGTGAATCGTGATTGAAGCACCCTAAATGCACGTTCTACATCCTTTTTGGTTGACTCTTGTCATTTTGTTTGCTTCTCCCCTTGTGGCATTGAAATGGTCTTCACAAATATGGCAAATTCTGGATAAATGTCATTCGTCAGATAGTATCCCATATCATATTGGGTTCCGCTAATGCTGAAATTTACCATAGGTGCACAACCCAACATAACTTTGTTAAACGCATTAGATGCATTTAACATAATAATGTCATTGTTTGACTCTATAGTACCAAAAAAAGCATGCCAAATCCACAAATCTTGTGATACAACTGCTTCAAGAATGATTATTGGATTTGCATGATCACCTTGACAAAATTGACCTTTCCACGCAACAGGACAATTATTCCATCCCTAGTGCATACATTCAATTGAGCCTAACATACCTAGAAAGCCACGTGCTGATCCCATTTGTATAATTCGTTCTATGTCTTCATTATTAGGCTTCTTTAGGTACTCATCCCCGAATATTGCACAAATAGCTGATACAAATCCTTGCAAGCATTCCACAATAGTGCTTTCACCAATGCGAATATTTTCATCGACACTATTAGTAGGTGAGCCATAAGCTAAAATAGGAAGAACATTAGTGCACTTTTTCAATGGTGATAGGCCTCTTCTACATGTTGCATCTAGTGTTATTCGAAAGTACTCATTGTGATTGGTTATGGTTATTACGATTCTCAAGAACACATGCCTTCGTATATGAAACCTTCTTCAGAACTGAGTCTCTGTATACACCGGATTGTTGAAGAAATAGTCATTGAACAATCGATCATGACCTTCCTCCCGATTACAATGTACCGCCATTCTTCTATGTGAACGATGAAGAGTGTTGTTGGCTCCTATTGATTCAAGGATCAACCTTATCCCTTCTTCCTCAGTGTTCTTTTCAAGTGATTCATTTAAGACTTGATCCAATAGTGTGTCCAAGTCGCCATCGAAGTCCATTCTATGGATAACTGAAGTATTTAAACGAGTGAACAATATTATGTAAGTTTAAGAGAAGATGTGAGAATGAGAAAGCATTACACAAATATATAACATGATTCATAACAGCTAGTTTTCAACCGTTAGTTTCCAATAACTACTTTTACAATGACTACTTTTACAACAGCTAGTTTCTAACGACTAGTTTCCAACAACTACATTACACAAACAAAACAAGTAAAATAAAATAACTAATACAATTTTTAAAATCCATGTTTTTGCTTAAGACAAACACAATACTTTTCATGACACCGAAGTTGCTATTCAGACATGCCAGTTGTGTCCTTCATTATGATTTTATACTCCAAATGCCTTTTTTGGTCTTGCAAACACCTTTCTTGTGCCTCGTTTAAGTCAAGAAGTTTTGAATGGTTGTCATTGCTAACTTTCAATTGACTTTGTATTCCAGCTAGATCAACATTAGCGAAGTAGTTGCATGTCCTTTTCCTTTTATATTCCTCTTTACTGTTTTTTGTCCTATTGATCAACACACTTGCGAAGTTACCTCACATTCTTCAACTTCAACGGGTGTCTTCGGGTTAGACAACAATGAGTATGTACTTGACGTAGATACCTTGCTCCTTTTTGAAGAGTTATCCATAAGTTTTGAATGCCATTTTGGTTCATCCATCAATAACATCTAAGCATGCTCAAATTCAAATTTTTTACCTTTTGGATCTTCCGTGAAAATTCTATGTGCAAAAGCCATAATGTCCTTCTTTCTCCATCCGCTTTTTCTTTGAGTTATTGCTTGTTTGTAGCAACCAATGAACTTTTGAACTATAGGGTGAATTTTGCTCAATTGAGACTTTAACCGAGTGATAATTCTGGTTGTGAATCGGTCGTGCTCGTCATCGTTGTTGTATGCTTCTTTTATTCTTTCCCAGTATTGATTTAATGACTAATCAACTCTAACAATTGAATTCTTCTTCTTTTTCTTCTTCTCCTCTTGCCTTCTCCCCTTTTCTTCTCTTCCCTTTCCCTTTTTTTTTTTTCAATTAAAAATTAATACTATTATATTTAAGCAACTGTTGCTTATACAAGCAATCCAAAAAAAATTTTAAGCTACTTTCATGCCACCAAGGACTCCTCCAATGGTAAGTTTCTTGAAGGATCTGTCACTTGGGTTAAGAAATTCTCCAAGCATTTGCCATTGGAGATGCTCTTAGGTGTAGGTATGATTAAATGAATTGGGCTTATTGTTGAGTCAACTCATTTACCTGCCACTTTTAGTGGGTTGAACTTGAAAAAGCTAGATCAACAATTGTATAGTTTGCTTTAGTTTGACCCGTTTAGAAATGGATTGATTATCCCAACAAACTCACACTAGAACAAAAATTAGTTTCAAGATCGGGGTTTTAAGATCGGTTATTAGAGAACCAATCTTAAAAGTGATGTTGTGACATTTTTGTAAATAAGGTTACAACTTTTAAGATCGATCACGTTTTAACTGATTTTAATAGTATGCGATGGCATACAATTGTTAATTCACAAATAGTATTTGTGTGGACTGAAGTAAGTTTTACAACTTTGAAATTTTTTATCTTAAATTTTCATTCTGTCATGTTTTATGAATACTTCTAACTGTACTAAATTTTTCTTAACAGATAGTTATAGATCGATCACCATTGTCACCAGAAGACATAAACATCATTTGGGAGCAATGAGCTACATCTTTCATTGAAACACTGACTAGTTAAGACTTATACTTTATAAAATACTTATTATGTACTTATTATGTATACATTTATGTATTGGATATGTTTCAAAAAAAAGTTCTCTTGTATTTTGTATGTATTGCGGAACATTGAAAATATATCATCAACTGCCTGATATTAATTTGCAAATTTTGTTTAGGAACCTTCTCAAAACAAGCTAATCATTTTAAAAATAAATCATAACTTTTAAGATCGATCATGGTAATAGTCGATCTTAAAAGTCTAGTTTTTAAGATCATCTATTAGCATGACCGATCTTAAAAGTTTAAATTTTAAGATCGACTATTAGCAAGACCGATCTTAAAAGTCTAATTTTTAAGATCGACTATTGGAGTGATTGGTCTTAAAAGTCCAACTTTTAAGATCGACTATTGACATGACCTATCTTAAAAGTCCAAGTTTTAAGATTGGCTAACAACCAATCCTAAAAAGTTCAACTTTTAAGATCAGTTCCTCTAAGATTGATCAAGGAACCAATTTTAAAAGTAAAAAATAATCAATCTTAAAAGTGTTTTTTTCACTAGTATCATTAGCTGATTTAGGTTTTTAGTATTTAACATTTTTTAAATTTAAAAACCACGATATACATATTTTTCTTACTTTTATAATAATGATAAAATTTTACTCATAAATCATAATTTATTAAATATATTTAAGTTAAATTCCTAGTTCAAACATAAAGAATCCATTAACAAAATCCATTGAAAACAGAACCAAAAGCAAATTTAAGTTTATTATTATTATTTTACATATATTTTTTTTAACAGAAAAACAAAGTGTAAATGCAATCTTTAAATTATTATTATTGAAAAATACTAAAGTCTTTTTAAATGTTTATTTAAATTTCAATTATAAAATGTATTAAAAATACCCTTAAGTTATTTTTTCTGAATATATTAAATACTGCATTGTTTTTAAATGTTTTTTTATGCATTCTTAGTAAGTACATAATTGTTAATTATTATGGCTATACGACTTGCTTATCATTTATCCTGTGTTCTCTTCGTTAAAGGACAAAATCTATTGGTGTTACACTTGTATTTTCTTAATAAAAAATTTAGCAAACAGTTGAGCTATCAAAAATTGAGCAAATAGGTGAAATATAAACAGGCAGAATAAGATTATTTTGTGAAAGTGAGAAAACAGTCAAGAAATTCATGGAAATAATTATAATTAGTCCTTAATCATAATTAAGCTCTAGTAAAAATTTAAATTTAATTATGTGGCATTTGATTTTAATTCATTTACAAGATAATACGCGTTTATGGAAGCTTTCTGGTAGTTAAAAAAATAATAATAACTGAGTCACAAAACTATTTTTAAATGCCCCAAGTTAATATAAGTGAGTCATTAACTCCCTACCCATGTTATTAGCACAAAAGGATCAAGAGAAACGATGACTTTCACCGTTTGAGTAAAAAACCACACCAACGAGTAAATCCCACTTAAACTGATCCATGATTTCAATGAAACAATTGAAAAAAGTACTTGGAGCCATGCCCCGTTGTCTGTGGCCAAACTTTTTAGGTGAAAAATGTGAGGGAATTCAAATTTTTATGTACTGATTGTGTCCCTAAATTTAACTAAACTACAGACTTTTTGCATTCTTCTACGCTAGTCTATGCAATAGGTACACCAACAAATTTTCTTGCACTACTTGCTCTACACATTCAGCTATATGCTTGTCTATGTAATAGGTACAACAACAAAGAAAGGAAGATCCTAACTCATTCCAACTACCCTACTTGCTCTAGACCATGCTGTTCCCTCTTGAGATCAGAGGGAGGCAAAAAGCAATCCATGGACAAGCCACAAATGTTAAAATCAATCTCTTCGATCCTCCATGTTTCCTCAATTCTCCGCTGGTGATTATGCGCCATACCATACCTATATAAGATGGCCACTGTTTTGCCACCATGCGCTATGTTAATGCCATTCACATACCTATAGTCCTCAATCACAGATTCCATGCTAGTTTCCCAGAAAACAGAATCGTTTCCCTTGGCAGGTTTCATTCTTACCAACTTGGTATCCTCGAATTTGATAAGTAGCCCTGTGCGCTGGCTAAAGTATCCCCACACCGTGTGTCTTATAATTTCAGTGTGGGAAGTGTTTTGGGCTTCGAGGATGTCATGTGCTGTGTCTAACTTGAGTAAAAAACAATCTTCATTGTTGATGGTTTTCTCTCCTACACATACAGCGTCTATGAACAAGTTAGCTGTACACCTTGGATCCAGCCCCTGATAATAACAACCACAAAATGAACAAATAAACAGAGTAAAAAACAATCCTTGATCAAACCCCTTTACCCCTTTAACCATATTTAATTAGCAGAATTGGCGTAAGATATATACAGTCAAGCAATTGTTACTCTTTTGTATGGATATAAAAAAAATCCTTGATCAAACCCCTTTGATAGGCATGGCTATGGCCTATAAATCAAAACTTGTACTCGCACATCAACAGAACAATGACTCAATTATTGATTAACAGGCATATAAAACATTAAGTTTCTGAAATAGATGCTCAAAGTCGATCATTGCCGTTATGAAATATTTATTGACCATTCTTGAGGACTAAGTTTATTTATTGTTATATTAAGATCAAATTGTCTGGTACTACATATTCTACCAATTAAGATTTTTGGACTCTATGATTGCAAATATTGTCACATTTGTCCCCAGAACAAAACCGTAAGCACAATTTAAAATGTTAGCTGATAAGTAAAAAAGTGGTGTAGGGCAATGAGTGAGGTAGTAATGACATATTTATGTGATGTTGTTGTACCTGAAAGAAGCGGCGAAGGGGTCTAGGGGGGCCTTGGTTGGCATGACTAAGTTGAGAAGAAGATTGGTTCCATGCGACCTTGCCATCACTCCCTGCACTAACCTTGAAACCAGAGACAACCAATTCAAAGTGCCACAAATTTGGGTTCTTTTGCCACAAGACAAAACCCCCTACTTCAGCCCTGCCTATTGGTTTAACGGTTTCACCCCCTTGACGCATCTCGGAGCCAGACATTCTGACTTGTCCCACCGCATACATGCTTTTCAAGGAATCCATTGCGCCCACTCCTCCAATCGCAGCTATGTACTGCTGCACTATATATTTGGCACTGGAAGCTTCCTGCACATGGATCCAATATGTATATAATAAAAGTAGATGAATTGATGTATATATATATATATATATAGGAAAAAAGAAGAGGAAACTTACGATGGAAGAACCTTGGAAGGGGCGAGTTAAGGTGTGATCGGATTGGACCTGGAGAGGGATGAAGGGGCAGCCAACGAGCTTGAGCAAAGCGAGGAATTCGTTGTTGGTGGAAGCGGAGAGATGGGATTGAGAGGGTAAGGACTTGTGCTGAGCTCTCATGAGGGCGCGGAGGTTCTGCCAGCGGTTGGAGCCGCTGCTGCCGATGCTCGTCCACATGTCCTCCGGAATGGGCACCTCCAGCACCGTCTCCAACCCATCCACCTTCTCGAAATTCGGACACAGTTTCCTCATCAATGGCGTGCCAAACCATGCATGCACCTCAATTGCAAACGTCAAACATGTACACAACTCTTTATCCCTTTTCCTTTTTCACCCCAACCGCTTATTATTTTTATATAACCACCAATTTTACTCCATCCAAACCAACTTCATGCTTAACCTTTAATAACCTCCTCTCCCCGAAATGTTCTCCATTGCATTAGAGCATATTCATTCACCAAATTCATGTATTTAATAGTATATATAATAGATATGTTACAAATCCTGTAATTTTGATTTGTAGATTGATTTGACAAGTATCACTGTTCAAAATTAGACTAATTTTAATAATTTTATAAATAATGTAAAAATAAAATAAATGTGTTTCTAATTATTTTATGTATAATTATTATATGTATAAATAATATTTATTAAAGTGTTATTATTATGTGTATCTTTTTCTTAGTGAAAGTGTTGAGTGTTAGGTTTCTTTGGTTCTGTGTTTGTCATCGACATGTATTTCTAAGTTATTCCATGAGCCTTTGGGTGATGCTTGTGATTTAAATGGTACCACATGTATATAAATTTAGATTGAGTCAATGCATACCCTCTAATGATCTAATAAGTTTTTATACTTTACAGCTCAACAACTAAAACATTTGAAAACATAAATATAATTACCTAAGGTTACATGCAAACAATCCCTATATACATGTAATAATATATGTATGTGCATGTATGTTTGTATGTATGTATAAACTTCATCAACTAAAAACATAAATGTAAGCCTTTCAGTGGAACTACAACTATAAGTTAAACATATATGTACATACAATAATCTTGGACGACAAAAAAACATGATCTTAAGTTGTCGGTCAAACAATTACAAAAAGATAGTTACACCAGGATAGTTCAAGTAACATTGTCATCTTCTAGCATGACTTCCAAAACTGGTTCATCCTCCCGCCTAATCCTACTCTGCTCCCATAACAAATATGATCATCTCATTTCAACTACATAGAAATAATCAAGAACGAGCTTACAAAAAACAATAACAAGTACAAAATTTGTTGTATATTTTGAAATATTTCAAAAAGTTAATTAATTCATGACATTATTTTAATTTTAAATTCAAAATAGTTATTTTATTAATTATAGGTTTCAAAATCTAATTAATATCGATTTTAGTGAGATATAATAACTGATTGTTGTAATTTTAATTATCAAATATTTTAAAAATTTATTAGTTTTAATTCTCGTAATAATTATAGTCACAGTGGTCAATATCTCCTTTTATAAATATTGCGAATCAGTAAAAGTCAAATGTACTGAATACTGCTCTCTTCTTTATTCTCTCTTTTCAGGGTCAAGAACTTGCCAGTTCTGTATCATTAGTCTAATAATAGAAAGTTCTTGTTGTATCATGGGAACTTGTGTGGGAGTCTATGAATAAATCCTTTAGAATAGTACATTGCACACTTCAAAAGTTCAAATAAGTTTGTGCTCTCAACATCCATGGATAATAAAAGTAAAGTATGACTATACTATCAACATCAACATAGTAAGACTTTGTCTTAGACTACATTAACTCGATTGGAAGATAATTAGAGTATGATAAAAGTTTCTTTTTAATATGTTTGTTTTACTATGTTCGACTCGTCTTGATTTTGTACATTTTACTGGTATTGTAGTACTTGTTTGCGGGTATTTCTTGATTATTATTTTTCCTAATTAATTCCTATGAAGTGATTAATTCAAAGTGCTTTCATTTTTGGGATCACAAATAATTTAAACTAAAACTTAAATATATTTTTTTATAAACTAATAGTATGTGGAGACTATTCCTCGAAGAAAATAAAATTTAAATTTTATAATTATAATTATCTTAAAATATTTTTTTAAATCACACTATCAGATAAATAATATTTTTTGTCAAGGTGTAGTTGGCAAAGAAAAGTTTTGTAAATCACACTATCACTATCAGATATATAAATACAATTTTTTGATAGTATATCCAAAGTCTTAAGTTTGAACCTTGATATCATCATCAATATAGTTTGAATCAATAAAAAAATTACACCATTAGATAAATAAATGTTTGTGAGAATTTTTTTGTTATGTATAGTGGTTAACAAAGAATTTTTCTAACTTTTAAGCAACTTTTGTCAAAGTTTTGCTCTTGTTTTTTTTTTTTTTTTTTTTTTTTTTTTTTTTTTATTTCATAAGAGTTAAAGGAAAAAGAAACCAAAATCAGAAAAACTAGTAAACAAAAAACATAATCATCATGACTAGTTAGTTCTAGCCAAACTATTTACGAGGCACACATGTTCCTGCAACATCTTTCATGAGTAATTCCTCCATGTCCAAAGGGGCTTTTTCCAAGATCACCAAATCTTCAGATGATAATGCATCTTTTTTAGCCAAAAAAATCTGCACAAAAGTTTCCTTTTGTAGAATATGTCACTACAAGGAAAATGATAAATCGCGACGGACAAATTGCGACTGTTATCTAGAAACCATCGTCGCTTTGATATTGTGACCCTTCATACGACAGTTTTCAAAATCGTCGCAAAATTGTTCAACATTGCGACGGTTTATCGTAAACCATCGCAAAATTTGTTTAACATTGTGACAGTTAATCATAAATCGTCGCAAAATTTTTTAACATTGCGACAGTTAGTTATAAACCGTCGCAAACTTTTCAGCATTGCGACGGTGTGCAGTAACTATGTTGGTGTACATTCACACACAAATCGTAAACCTATAAATCTATAATAAAAAAATTTAATTGTATAAAAAATATTTTAAATACTTCCTATATCTAATTTAGTATATTCTAAACAATCGACTCATTTTAGCAAATTAAAATAATTATGATTACAATTGACAAACTAAAAAAAATCTTATTGTACATGAGGTGATATCATGATACTAAGTACATATACAATGTCACAAAGAAGGAATAAATGACATTATATTTTTTGTTATGAGGACAACTCACGTACATCTGTGTACACTAACGTACACTCATACACAGACCATGATGAAAGAGGTTAATCTTATTCCAAAAAAAAACCTTTTAACTATTTCAATTATCTCATTTGACATATTTTCAATAACCAACTCCTGTTTTAAAAAATTAAATAGCTATGATAATATTCATTCAAATTATTGGTTTAACTAAAACAAGATTTTGTAATTTAAAAAGATGACAACTATTTAATACAATCAGTTTAATACAAATAAAATTATTTGTTTATTTATATTATTAATAAAATATGT